CAGCCAGTGGAGACCAGTGTGGGGCAGCTTCCCTTTCAAAAACAGCCTAGAATCTATGTTCTCACTTTCTCGCATTGAAAGACAGCTGAGTAACCTATAACTGTTAACAGCGTGAGGTCAGGACGCTTTTGTACTTTATATGTACATTTTGAGACATCCACAAGAATGGGTTGAGTTATAAAAAGAAGGTATTGAACTTAACTAAGAAACCAGGTATTAGCACTAAACACTGAAACGGTGTTAACAAAAGGAGGCCTTAGATTCCAATTTTAAGGTCATTTCCTGTGTGCGTCAAGTAAAATTCCCAGTTGAGCTGGGGAATACCGTGGATGGTGCTCACGCAGAGCGTCGGGGAGCTGGCTGGAGGGAGGCGGCGGGCAGGAGGCAGCGCGCTTGCCTGGGTGAATGTTGGTTCAACTAAATGATGGACCAGTGTTCTTGCAGACACAGGGCGCCTGTAGTCTGCCGCAGTGGAATGAGTAAGAATTGTTCCCCAACTGGGAGCTTCATTCATAATGTTGAAGGCAGAAGATATTGCTAAGGAAACGGGAGGGAATGTCGCATCGTTTTTTCAAAACACTGCAGAAAATGTATAATTTCATTCTCTTTCCTACTGTTTTAAAATTCATGATCTTAAGAGGTGTTCAGATCTATTGAGGTTGAAGTCTTAAGCTGATAGGGTGGTGTCACAGGACTCTTGGAACATAGATTTATGTTCTCATCAGGATTGGATTAAGCTAAGTTTAGGCAAATCTTAGAGAAAACCGACCAAAAGCTTATAGCCATGAAATGCACAAAAACCAAATTCTGTTTGAAAAACAGAGGCTGATATCTTTTTTTTTGTAAGTTTTGTCACCAGGTCCTCTTTGTGGTTTCTTTAGCACTAATATACTCAGACAAGTCACTAGAAGGGTTCTTGGGCAGCCCTAGGTTGGGTGTGCCTAGCCAACATCTTAAGGTAGAGGTGGATACATTTTATATAAGCCTGTTAGGAAAATGAGAACTGACTGCCATTTCCTCATCTCCTCCCACTCCTTAAATACGTTTATTCCAGAGTTAGAGTGGGGAAATATGGGTATAGAAGTTTTATTCTAAATTGTTCTTTTAATATGAGGCTATATTGTGGGTTTGGGTGTAAATAATTTTCTGTGCAAAACAAATGAATAGGATCTGTGATTTTTGCTCAGAGTGTTCGATAATATATTAATAAGGCATTTCTCCCTGTTGCACTCAGGACTAATAGATCAGATGAAATTTAAGGAGGAAATGGAAGAATTCAGGTACATCCATTGCATATTATTTGGGGAAAGATGAATCCTGTACGTGGCAATTTTTCAGTGTCACCTGAACAACAAGTTCTTCCAAGGAAATTCGTCTTTTCTTTTCCATAAAAAAGAAGAGAAAAGAAAAAAGATTTTGGCTTTTCCTTCGCATCCACCATATTCCTTCAGTGTCCATTCTCAGTGGCCCCTGTATCATCTCATTTGACTGTAAGTGACCACACCTCAGTGGCGATAAAACCGCGTCTGTCAGTGAGCTGTCCTATAGGCGTGATCTTGTGAGCTTGAGCTTCAGGAAACATGAGTAAAGGCATATGTATGTATATAGTCATATCTGTATTGTAGCAAGAAAAAAATGTATTTATTTTGACACAGGGAAACATTGACTTATGTTGCTGAAGAACTTGAAGCTAGTGAAAGGGTCACTCCTCAGTCTCTGCGAGTGGCCCCGACGTGACATAAAAGACCATTCAGCCGGCACCTGCTGGGCAGCTGTGGTGAGCCGGCCGCAGCTAGGCACACGTGGGAGCCAGACACACCTGACTTCGTGCAGCTGTTGTCCAGGGGAAGGCCAATTTCTCTCCCTTCGATGCCTCCAGTCTGGGTTGGAAAGGCAGGGGCTGGGGATGCCACTGCCACAGGTTTTTAAAGGAACTAAGGTGTTACTCTCAAATACAAACATAAGGGGGGGAGCCGGGAATAACTTACTGGGAAGCTAATTTATTTGCTTAAAAGGGATGTGTAGGAACCACTACCCTCTGTTTTGATCTGCCAAGGATTTCCTCTCAGCGCTGCCGCACGCAGGGGATTGGGCTTGGTAAGACACCATACGGGACAGATACGCACCGAAATTTCTAATGCGTTCTATGGGTTTCAATTCTGAAAAAGAAAAAAAAAAAAGAATAAAGATTTTAATAAGTATCGATGTATCATCTTTTCCTCTTACTCCTTTTTCCCCTTCTTTCAAGCTATTTTCAATGTTCTGTTCCAACTTCCTGTTTTGTTAGGGGATGGAAAAAGACCCCTTCTGCTCCCACTTCAACCTTCGCAGGGACTGTTCCATAGTATCTGATGAGTAAGACCTTTGCACGTGCTCGCTAGCCTCCAAAAGGCCAATTCCAGGTTGTGGCTCTACCAGAAATTTCCATTGGATAATTCTTGGGTGCTTTTTGTATATTTGGTATAAGTTCAGCCCATTCCTGCAGCTTTTATAAGTAAAACATTATAAATCCTGAAGAACATGTCAGCACAGTACTGTACAGACATGGGAGAAGACCAGGGCCCTGATTATTATTCTTCAGACAGCCAGATTTTTAACTTTTGAAACAAATCCAGCATCATAAGCCTCAACTAGACAACGAAGCAGACTTCTTAAGTTTTTACTTGGTTTGCCGCATTTTTGTTTGCGCCGCCTTTTGTCCCGTGCACTTGGATACCGGTGGGAGGCTGCCACCTTGTGTTCTTCACTGACTCCCCTGCGATCCTTTTTCAGGTGGGCTTCCGGCTTTGCTTCTCAGGCGTATTAGAAGGACTGGTATTAAAACTCGGGAAAGGCAGCTGGGAGTAGGGAGGGTTCCTGGAGTGTTCAGTCTTCGGTAGATACTTGGGCTTTGGGAGTCCCCTCAGAGAACTGACGGTCCCAACAGAAGGAAACTGTGAAGCACCCAATGTGTCAGGAATGATGTCAATGAATTACAGTAGAAATGCAAGCAGGAACAAATCACTGGGGGTCAGGAGGGTGAGAGGTAGGCAGAGCCCACATGGAAGAAAGGGAGAGTGAGCCAGGCCTGCTGTGTGTGTAGAAGCCCGATTTCCAAAGTACACAGCCTCCTGGGCCTGTACCCTGTTTCATCCCTTCAGGGCTGCGGGAAACCATGGGAAGGTTTTCATCGGGCACGTCCTGTCTCTTGAAAGGACCCTCCGAGTCCACTGTGTCGTTTCAGTTGCTCCTTAGTAATAAACATTAAACAAGCCACCGGTGTAGAGATGAGCTGTGAAATATTGATTTTATGTTTTCAGAGTTTGCTTTTTACATGCCAAGTGTAACGAGATAAAGGCTTGATTTTTACTCAGAGATTGTTTTCAGGGCCGAGAGAGTTCTGCCTGCCTCCAGCCGGGTCGGTGTGTGGCAAAGCTTGGTGCCATTTCAATGACCTCAGATAGGTGTTGCGTGTCCATTTTCTCTTAGACTTTGTTAAAATGCAGATTTTGATTGAGTAGGTTTGAGGCCTGGGATTCTGAATTTCTAATGAGCTCCGGGATGAAACCAGTGCTGCTGGTCCCTGGAGCACGCTTGAGTAGCAGCAGGGAGCCGGGTTTGCTTGCTAAGGAATCATGGCGGCCTGTAGTTTTCAAGACAGCCTCTAGATGTCCCCATCGTCCATGAGATCTCGCTCCTAGACTCCGAACCAACTGCCTCCAAGCCCTGAGAATGAAATGTTGGCAGTTTACTGAAACCAGAGTCTTGTCTAAAAACTGGTGTTTGGATCCATTGTTTCTGTGTGGAACTGACAACGGTGGAAAAAAAATGTTTACTTTTAGGAAAAAATGTCATCTTGAAATCAAGATGTTTGTCCAAGAACTTTCCAGCTATCTCCTTTATTTACCACTAAGTGCCAAATTCAAATCAGAACACTGCAGAAATTAGCAGTCCTACATGAAAGTTAAAAGCAGAGACTGTTATTTTCACAGTCCTAAAACTTGGGTTTTTAAAAGAAACTAGTGTTACTATTGGTAATTTTATCACCATAAATTCACTTGTAAACATCACTACTATAAAATCATCCAAGCCTCCTGTGTAGACCATCCAGAGCCTCATACATAAAAGTCAGCATGTAACTGAATGAGCCCATGAACTCTTAGAGCCTCCCGTCAAGTGACTGTTTTATTCTGCCATTTGATCGGTGGGGAATCAGGCATAGGGCAAATTATACCCGAGGTGACACACAGAAAATGGCAGGGGCCATACTGGGTTGCCATTCACGCGCATTCACTGGATGAGTTCGTGTTTTCAATTTCCAGATAAGCAGAAGGGCATGTTCCTTGGTAGCGGTCCGCGCGAGCTCTCCTGGGCTTGACTGCGCTCGCAGCAGGGCTGGGAACTGGCCGCGGCTCCGTGGGAGGCTTGGCTTCGGTGTTGCCATCACTCGGAGGGGCTGATACCTACAGTACGCACATCCCTAAGCCCTCTGCAGTCTGTGGTGGTGTCCTAACAGGTGCACGGCTGAGTTCCGGTGCTGTCTGAGCGCGAGCCAGGGCGGATGTGGTGAGCGGCTGCGGGACGAGTGGCCGCGGCACCGAGTGCGATGAGAGACGGGGACATCGTGAGCTGGCTCCGGGATGCCGCAGAACCCAGCCTCGAAGCCGCGGAGCCTGTGCCATCAGTCGAGTCCCACGACCTCTAGACAGCACTTTGTTCCAAGGGCAAGAGGGCCCCGATGGGCCAGTGGCTTCAGTCACTCAGGTGATTTTGAAAAATGCATTAAGCTCTTCTGAAATGCGACAGGCACGTGGCAGGCTCATGCTGTGGAGAAGGGGCCCCAGAGGAAAGGCGCCCTCAGGTCTTGCCTGTGGTATCTGAGGAGCTGCTCAATGTCACCAGCGCTTCAAAGCGGCAAGCGGGGCCGAGAGAGCGCACACAGTAATCAGCCGAACTTCCTTCCGTGATGCTCCCCCGGCTGGGAGTTTCCAGAAGCCGAGGATCTCCAGCCTGGAGGCTTCGGGCTTCCACTGGCCCCGGGCGGACTCCCAGCCGTGGAAACCTGGGGCTGCTCGCAGCGGTTTCACTTCCCGGGGTGGCGGACCCGTGTGGCTCCCCGCCCCCCCGCCCCCAGGGCCTCTCTCCACCCGGCGCCGGGTGACACGCCGCCCGAGCCGGCCCGGGGCTGAGCTGCCGCCAGGGGCAGGGCAAAAACGGGGGGCCCTTACTGGGTCGGCGTCGGGACGGGCCCCGGGGCTGCCGAAGGGAGTCGCCGGGTGGCCGGCGGTGACCTTTCCGAGGCCTGACTGCGCCTCCTCGGCGACCGCGGGCTCCCCAGTTCAGCGCGCGACCGGAAGAGAGCCCCGGCGGTGGGCGGTGCCTGCGGGCGGCCTCGGGGTGCGCTCGGGCCGCGGGCCTGGGCCTCGGTTCCCGCGGCCCCGCCCGCCGCCGTCCGGGCACTACCGGGAGCGGGGCGGCGGGAGAGCCATGCGTCGCCTGCGCCTGCTGCCGCTGCTGCTGCTGCTGCTCCTGCCGCGGCCGGGCGCCCCGGGACCCGGCGACGACGCGAGCCCGCCCGACGCGGCCCAGGAGCCCCTCCCGGGCCTGCGCGAGCGGCTGCGGGAGGCCGTCGCCCTCTCCCGACGGTACTGGGCGCTCCTGCGCTGCCGCGTGTGGCCCAAAGACTGTGAGCGCGCCGAGGAGGCTGGCGCGGGGCTCCTGGGTAAGAGCGGCCGCCCGGGCTCCTCCGGCCGCGGCCCCCGTGGGGGGGGGGGGGCTGGGGGGAGGGGCAGGCGGGGGGCCGGGACGTGCGCTGGCCGGGGGAAGCCGGGCGCCGCTGTCCCAGCCGCCGGGCCGCGGCCACCAGGCAGGCGCCCAGGCTGCCCGCCCTACCGCCCCGCCCGGCCTCGGCCCAGGCGGCGGGCAGGGGCGCCTCTGGGGACCCGGCCGCCTCCCCGGCCTCTGTCCGTCACAAGACCATCTCCTTCCCCCGGGTGCCCCGCCCTCGGCGCCCGTCCGTGACCCCTCCAGACAGCTCACACTTCCTTGAGTCGGCCAGCCCACCTGGCATTATTCCAAGGAGCTGCTCTTTCCCGCCTTCTTCTGGGCTTTTCGGCAAAGTCCCCGGCTGGACACCTGTGTTCTGATTCCCACTCCGTCAGTGACAAATCTGGCATGGACCAGATGCTCTCTGAGGCTCCTTGCAGTCTGTGGAGATCATTCTAGGTCCCTAATGCAATTCTGATGGCAATCCTACAATGGTGCTGTAAAAACGTCTTTCATTTCAATCAAAAGATTTCTAAATCCCAGTGGTTGGGCTTTGTTTGGTTGCGTTTCTGCTGGTGCTGGCAATGTTCAAACTGACATTTGACAAAAGAATTGAGAGGCCCTTGGGGTTGGCTGGGATCACACCATTTTGGAATTCACAGCAAGTAGGCAGAATGATCATCACCAGCGGCTGTTGGTCTCCCTGCCAGACTGCAAACTCCTTGTGGGCAGCTCTGGGTTTCTTAACGCTTCTGGCACACGGTGCTTAAGGCATATATGTTGAGCAAATTGACCTTTGCTGGATCTGTATCTGCAACAAGGCCATCGACTTCCTCCAAGCTGGGGGCGCCCCCTCCTGCTCAGTCCCTGGCTAGGCACAAGGAAGGCCCAGGGAAGAGCAGTCAGGAGCAGTCCTGGAGGGAGGACCAAGGACAGGAAGAACTGCTCTGCTTGGTTGCGGGGAGACAGTGTCCACCTTCCCCGTGGCCCTGGGTTCTGTCCCGGTCTCACAGCTCCCCCTTTTCCAGGCTGGAGCCTTCCCCTGTTGGGCCAGCAGTACCTGGACATCCTGACCTCGTGGTACTGCAGCTTCCAGGCCTGCTGCGACAGTGGGGACTGCAGGATCTCCAACAACTTCACAGGTGGCACCTTGCATGGCCCTGAGGGGCTGGGGATCTGTGGGGAGGAGAGGCAGTCCGGGGGCAATGCAAGGCACCCTTCATTGTCCTGCCCCCAGCTGACAGCACGCCCTTCCTGTCTCCGCCATGGCTCCCAGAGCCCCTGTGTCCACACCCTGTAACCTCATGGCTGGAAGGAAGGCATCGCAGAGGACTCTGAACACACTAGCTGCCCTCAACAAGTGTTTGCTGAATTGAATTTATTCATGTGAGGGAGTCTCCATAAAGCACCTAGGGGTTCCCGAAACCTCTGGGTGGGAGCAACCTCTTGGGCATCAGGGATGGGCTTCCTTCTCCAGACAGGACTCTGCCAACCATTCTTTTTTTTTTTTCAAGATTATTTTTTTGAGAGAGAGAGAGCGTGCACACGAGTGGGGGGAGGGGCAGAGGGAGAAGCAGGCTCCCTGCCGAGCAAGGGAGCCCCTAGGGGGCTCCATCCCAGGACCCTGAGATCATGACCTGAGCCAAAGGCAGCCGCTTAACCAACTGAGCCACCCAGGCGCCCTCTGCCAACCCCTCCCCCAGCTCAGGGATGTTCAGAGGTGTCTCCCAGCCATCACGGAGCCTGGTGGGGACCCCATCTGTGCCACCGCACCATGGCGGCTTCTTTCCCCCTCCTAGGCCTGGAATGGGACCTGAGTGTGCGACTGCACGGCCAGCATCTGGCCCGGGAGCTGGTCCTGACGACGGTGAGGGGCTACTTAGAGCTGCCCCGGCCGGACAAGGCCCTGGCTCTGTCGTTCCACGGCTGGTCGGGCACAGGCAAGAACTTCGTGGCTCGGCTGCTGGCAGAGAATCTATACAGGGACGGGCTGCGGAGCGACTGTGTTGAGACGTTCATCGCCACCCTACACTTCCCTCACCCGAAGTATGTGGACCTGTACAAGGTGAGGCTGTGGGGTGCTCTGCCGGGGGGCTCTGCCAGCGGGTCGGGCCCGAGGCTCGGCCAACCTGAGCCACAGCCTTCTGGGATGGGACGGACGCCCTGAAAGCAGCCCTTCCCTGCGAGGGGGTGGCCTCGGAGCCGCCTGAGTGTGGGCATTGGCGGCCCTGGTGACAAGCCCTGTAACCCACAGAGACATCCACTCCACAGAGATACGGCCCTGAGCGTGTGGAGGAAAGATTCATATTCAAACACTGCGCGTCTTGAGCCCTGTCTCCTTATCAGCTGCCCACTGAGTTTAAACAGAGAATCCACGTGATAGTTGTCTGTTCTCGAAGTAGTGGTAATTGTGCAGGAAATGGGGAACAGACAAAAGCAAAAACTTTATCGGAATCTCCACACACAGACACAAGCACAGTTCGCATTTGGGTGTACTTCCTTCAGGTTTTATGTCATTGTGATTAATACTGGACAGAAAGTTGTAGATCCTGTTTTTTGGGGAGGCTGCGCAAGAGGGAGAGGGAGAGAGAATCTTAAGCAGGCTCCACACCCAGCGTGGAGCCCGACGCAGAGCTCGATCTCACGACCCTGAGATCATGACCTGAGCCGAAATCAAGAGTCAGGCGCTTCACGGATTGAGCCATCCAGGCACCCATATCCTGCCCTTTTTTTTTTTAAGAGGCGTATCATATAAGATTTTCCATGTCTTCCCCAAATCGCCAACAGGTAGGGAGACAAAAATTGTCCTTGCCACTCTGCTCTTTTGGCTTTCTTCCATTCAGACATGTATTTCAGATAAGCCGGACGATGGGCAAAACCCCATTGCAGCATGACAGAGAGGACTACATTGTCTCTGGGTTTCTGTCCCACTCTCTGCAGTGTGTTACCCTGGGAAGATGTTGTGAGGCTCCGAGCACAGAGCCGGCTGAGCCAGCTGCAGGTGCAGCGCGGTGCTGGAGGGCCAGCGACTGGTGGCTAGTCCGCCAGGCCTTCCCAGAAAGAACAAACGGGCTCTGTGGCAGAACTGCTCTGGATCTCTGCTTCCCCACTGTGAAAACAGACCTGTGCACTCTCTCTCTCTCTCCCTCTCTCCCCCCCACACACAGTAGGGTGACGAGGGGCCGAGGTCAGACCCAGGGAGGCCAGAGGTGGATGGAGTGGGGGCTCTGCTGACACACCCGACAGGTTCGGGAGCTGGCCCCCTTCTGCTGTAGCCTTCAGAGGGCTTTCGACTCTGTGGCCGGGGGTGGGGCACCCCTGGGGGCCAGTTGGCTGAGTCCCGGACAGGTCCCACCCAGGCTTCTCCCCTGAGGTCTCAGCCTAGCCTGGGTACTAGTGAGCACCCAGTCCGGGGAGTTCAAGACAGGGGGCTGGGGTGGCCTGTGGGCACGTGAACCTGCTGTGCCCGCCTCCCCGATATTAGAGCCTGGCTCCTGCCCCCCAGGGAGTCTGATTGGACGTTGATTCTGGGATGGGACCTCATCCTGGAGCGCGGGGAGCAGGGCGAAGCCTGGGGCCTGTTTCCAAGGCCAGGCCAGCCCGCTTCCTCTCCCCAAAGCCCAGGATGCGTGAGAATCACCTGGGAAGCTCATCAGAGGTGTGGGCCCTAGCCCCACCCCGACACGTGTGGATTGGTAGTTGTCGGGCGGGACCCCAGGTGATCCTTTGCAGATGCCAAGCGCGGCCCTCAGGGCTGGAGGATGGGAACGGCCGCCCCCACCCCCCCAGCTCGCAACAGCTCCCTGTATTCCGTGCAGGAGAAGCTGGCAAGTCAGATCAAGGAGACGCAGGAGCGCTGCCACCAGACCCTGTTCATTTTCGATGAGGCCGAGAAGCTACATCCGGGAATGCTGGAGGCCCTCAGGCCACACCTGGAACGCCAGGCTCCCGAGAACCACAGGGTAGAGTCCCAGAAAACCATCTTTCTTTTTCTCAGGTGAGGTCTGAGGAACAGTAGTCAGGAGGGCTGCGGGAGGGGAGGGAGGCGCCTCCGTCCAGGTGCCGTTTGGGCCGGGCTTGGGAGTCAGCCGGAGGGGCGGTGCTTCCACGCTCCCCGGGGCTGCAGACCCTTCTCTGCACGGGAAACCGAGAGGAAACAGGAGCCTGGCTGCTTGGGTGGTAGCAGCGGTGCGGAGCCCTAGGCTCCCTGGTCCTGCCCTGATCCTACCGCTAAGGCTCCTGGAAGGACTGACTCCCACCTCCCGGCCCCCCATCGCCGGCTCGGGCCACCCGCCGGAAGAGCAGAGCAGCTATCCCTCACCTGTCCTCCCCTGCCCAGCACCCCCGTGGCTGTCTTAGGGCGGTGAGGCTCCCCTCCGACTCCCTAGAGCACACAGCCCCCTCGGGGACGGACCACTCACACATAGGAATCCCCCCTTCGAAGGGCATTTTGCGGGCCTTTTGTATTGACCTATAATTGACAGACAGCATTAGTTCCAGGTGTGCAACATGAGTCAGCGTTTGTCTATGCGGTATTGCGAAATGACTGCAGTAAGTCTGATTAACACCCGTCACTATACATGATTACACAACTTTTTTCAAGATCTGCTCTGGGCAGCTTTCAAATATGTGATGCGGTGTTATTAACCCCGGTCGCCACCACGCTGTACTCTGCGTCCCATGACTTACTCATTACTTAACGCCGCCGGCAACCGGCCATCTGTTCTGGGTCTCTGTGAGCTTGGTTCCTTGTTCTTGTTACTGTTTTAGGAGTTACTGTTACTGTTACTGTCTTTCTCTTATTTCATTTCACATGATGCCCTCAAGGTTGTTGTTGCAAATGGCAAGATTTCATTGTTTTATGGAGTTTTATGAATAATACTCCACTGTGTGTGTGTGTGTGTAGCACATTTTCATCATCCATCCGTCAGTGGGCACTTAGGTGGTTCCCATATTTTGGCTAGTGTAAATAATGCTGCGGTGAACATGGGGGCATGTATATCTTTTTAAATATTTTTGTTACCTTTGGATAAATCCCCAGAAGTGGAATGGCTGGATCATAGGGTAATTTTTACCTTTAGCTTTCTGGAGAGCCTCCACAGTGTTTCCCACAGTGGCTGCACCAGTTACATTCCCACCCCCAGCGCACAAGCATTCCCTTTCCTCCACATCCTCAATAACACTTGGTATTTCTGGTCTTTTTGGGTATAGCCATTTTCACAGATGTGAGGTGGTATCTCATTGTGCTTTTGATTTGCATTTCCCTGACAATCAGTGATGTTCAGCACCTTCTTATCTACGTGTTGGCCATCTCTTTGCCTCCTTTGGAAAAATGTCTATTCGGATCCTCTACCCATTTTTAATCAGATTATTTTTTGCTACTGAGTTGTATGAGCTCTTTATATTTTTTTATGTTAACCCTTATCAGATATATGATTTGCAAATATTTTCTCCCATTCAGTAGGTTGCCTTTTCATTTTGTTGGCTTCCTTTGCTATGCAGAACTTTTTAGCTTGATGTGGTCCCACTTGCTTATTTTTGCTTTTGGTGTCAAATCAAAAAATCATTGCCAAGACCGATGTCAGAGAGCTTACTGCCTGATTTTTTTCTTAAGAGTTTTATGGTTTCAGGTCTCACATTTAAGTCTAATCCATTTTGAGTTAATTTTTGTGTACAGTTTGAGGTAGTGATCCAGTTTCATTCCTTTATATTTGACTGTTCAGTTTTCCCAACACCATTTATTGAAGAGACTGTCCTTTCTCCATTGTATATTCTTGGCTCCTTTGTCATAAATTGACTATATGTGCCTGGGTTTATTTCTGGGCTATTTTGTTCCACTGATCTATGGGTGTCTGTTTTTATGCCAATACCATATTGTTTTGATTATTACACCTTTGTAATAGTTTGGAATATAACTCACATACTGTGAATCCCTTCTAAATAGGGCATTAAGTTTTCAAAGCAGCACATTTGTTGAAAATTAAGTACAAACTATCCTTGAAAATTCCCAAGGTAGACTCAGTTGGAGGATGGTGTCCCATTAAGTCCAATGTGGCTGGTTCTTTCTCCAGCCTTGGAAGGTCTGTTTCTTCTCTGATCACGAGAGGAAGTCACTGGCTCAAAATTCAGGGTATGTTGTGTTGAATGAAAAGCTCATGCTTTCACACCTGTGCTGAGATCTGCACCCTGACCATGCAGGACTCCAGTCACTATATGACATTACCTGTTTTGTTTGCCTGTATACTCTGGAAGTGGCTTTGTAAAAAGTGAATTGAGAAAGCAGCTTGTCCAATCCTATCTTTTTTGTGGTGGCTCCAACTGGGAAAGTCCTGCCCAACGTCTGTTAGAAGTCAAGTTTGGGTTCTTGTTGGCCCAGCCTGAAATGCTTAAGCTGCTTCTTACACTCAGAGTGGAAGAATAACCCATTGCTGCCGCTCCCCAAACCCCCTTCTCCCGTTTGGTAGTACGGGCTAGCTAGGGGCTTTTCTTCAGTTTTGCATGCACCCTCTGAAGGTAGAGAAATAGGGAGTCTGGATTTTCATCCAGTTTGGAACGTGTGGAGGCAGATCCTGTGTCACTGTGGACCCACAAGACAAGATGGAACCAGTTGAAACTTGCCCCGTTGGGATTTCAGTGTGGTGACGGCAAGCCCTTCCTGGTCTGTGATTAAGGCACACAACAGTGCACTGTGGAGGGACGCAGCATGGGGGAGGGGGGGTGCTCCCAAGGGGATTTTTTTAAAAAAATATTTTCTTAGAGCGAGAGAGCACGAGTGGAGTGAGGGAGCAAGGGAGAAGCAGGCTCCCTTAGACACTTAATCGACTGACCCACCCTGGCGCCCCCCAAGGTGATTTTGAAAGAAAAGCAGAGAAGCTGACCTGTGCCTGACTTGAGCTGTGGTCCCAGGGCGCTGCCTTTCCCTCTCAGTTCTCAGCTTGGAAAACCCCCACCCTTGCCGGTGCATTTCCTAATGTGACCCAGGTGACCTTGTGGTCTCTAGGCAACTGTTTGCCTTTGTAGTATTTTGGTCATTGACCTGCGGGCAGTGCCCTAGTCTCCTTTAGCCCTGCCCTTTCCCCCAGTGACCTGGCCTCTGTGCAGTGTCCGAGGCCAGGCAGTCACCAGGGAATGGACAGGAGGCTGGGGTGGCAGCCGGGCCTGTGGGGAGAGCCACCGGGGAGGGGGGAAGCCCCCTTGCTGGGGGATGCAGAGGCTGTGCCAGCTCTCCATGCGGAACCCCTGGGGAGGACACACACCTGTGACAAGGCTCGAGGGAGTGGTCTCTGGTTCCAGGGGCTCTGGTGCAGGCCTGGGCCCGGCCTAGGGAGTCAGTGGGGTTTGACAGGCCTGGGTGCCGGCTGACCCCGTGCAGCTCAGCGCCATCCCCACCCCTGCCCCGGGCACCCAGAGAGCAGCACTTCTAAACCGTGAAGGTTTCCAGGTACAGGTCTTCATCAGTTTGCAGTGGGATTATGTCCCAATAAGCTCATCTAAGTTGAAAATGTATTTAACACACCTAACCTACCGAACACTACAGCTCAGCCTAGCTTACTTTAAATGTGCTCACAACACACACGTTAGCCTGCAGTTGGGCAAAATCATCCAACACAAAGCCCATCTTCTAACAGTGTTGACCGTCTCATGTAACTGGCTGAATGGCGTACTGACAGGAAGAGCGTGGTTGTGCGGGTGCAGATGGTTGTAAGGGTGTCACTTGTCAACCCCTGTGATCGCGTAGCCGCTACCCAGCATCACGAGTCAGGATCAGACTGTGTGCTTCGCTAGCCCAGGAAAAGATCAAAATTCACAGTGAGACTTCTGAATGCTTACTGCCTTTGTATCCTTGTCAAGTAGAAAAATCGTTAAGTCAGGGGCTGTCTGTATTCTAGGGATGGGCCGGGGAAGGCCATATTTGAGTCTCTGGATTTGAGGTCTACGGTGGCCTCACCCCTGTGCTGAGGGCTCTTGTGTTTGAAAGGAAAGCACGGCTGATTCGAGCTGTTGGTGGGAACAAGTCACATTCATTGAAGGCCAGTTTAATCCTGACAAAACTCCTAAACGTGCTGCTTGAAGTGAGGTGCTGTGGGGTTGCAGTCCTGCCCCGTGGTGGTGGCAGTCGGAGCAGGGGTGTCCTGGGCGCCAGGCTCGAGGGCCTCCACTAACGCCGAGGACTTTCACCTGTCTCTGCCATTCTAGAGAGTGCTCCTGGAATGGGGTTGTGGAACTCTGGTCCTCTTCTTAGGGAAGCGGTCCGTGAAAGGAAAGGAGAGAAAGGACTTTGAACAATTAAAAGAGCAATACGAATGTAAATTGTTCATGGAATCAAAAGCCTTGTAGAAATGTGTATTTGTTGATGATTGAACCTAAGGTGACGTAAGGGGGCAATCAAATTGGTCCAATTCTCTTATTTTACAAATAAGGACACTGAGGGTCTGCAAGATTAGTAAGTGTTTGTTTATATCTCTTTAAGAAAGACTTAGCAATTAAGGTTTGGGGTTTAAGAGTTCTGGAGAGGCCTCTGAAGTCCCCTTCCTTTGGGGTCTTGGGGCTAAGGGCTGGGAAGAGGACATGTCCTGTCCCAGAGCCAGGGGACAGGCTGGGCTCCAGAGGTGCCTTCAGACCCCTCAGCAGCCAGGGACGACCTGGGAGGATGTGGAGAACGGAGGTCCTCCAGGAAGGCCTCAGCTCTCTAAAGGAGCAGTCCCGAGGAGCTGAAGACTAGGGCAGGTGAATAGAGACGGGGCTCAGGGTCTGTCTTGGTGGGTGAGAGAGAGGAAGAAGACATGGGCGACGGGACAAAGAAGAGAAATTGAGGAGGGATGCAACAGTGTAGACAAATGTGCAGACACATGTGTCGATTTGTTAAATAATGTTTATTGAGCACCAAGCACAGCAGTCCATGCTCCTGGGGCTGGATGAGTGCATCGCGCTCCAGCCCACCCCTGTGTCCACCTGCCCTTGCCTCCCGCGGGGGATGCAGGATGGGGCAATCCCTTGGCAGGGGACAGCTCTTGCCTCTGGCCTCTGCTGATGGAAGATGGCCTGCCTGGCAGGCCTTCCTACAGCAGCCTCCCTGCGTGCAGGTGTCACGAGAAGTCTGGCTGGGCAGCTGAACTTGAGCAAGGGGTGGGGGCGAGTCCCCCAGCTGGGACTCAGGCCCCCTGGGACAATCTGGCTGGGAGGGGTGCACCAGCGCCCACGGGAAGGAGGCACTGGATCACTGGGCAGTCCTGGCTCACACAGCAGCGGTGGCAGGCAGGGGGAGAGCCTGGCACACGGGACACACTCTAACACCAAACAAGCAGACAAATGGGTTAATGTACCTGTGAGTGTCAGATGGCCAGCCAGAGCTTCGGGAGAAGAGAACGGAGTTTCCCCCTCACGCTGTGAGCCTGAGCAGGGCTTGGTTTAAGGAGCTGGCGGCGGGGGGGCACGCGGAGGAAGTGCTGCCGGCCCCAGGTCCCCACCTCCTCCTAGCTTCCCCGGTGCTGGCTCTCATTTTTTTTTTTTTAAGATTTTATTTATTTATTTGAGAGAGAGAGAATGAGATAGAGAGCACGAGAGGGAAGAGGGTCAGAGGGAGAAGCAGACTCCCCGCCGAGCAGGGAGCCCGATGCGGGACTCGATCCCGGGACTCCAGGATCATGACCCGAGCCGAAGGCAGTCGCCCAACTGAGCCACCCAGGCACCCTACACCCATACGAGGCTTGAACTCACAACCCAGAGATCAAGAGTCGCATGTTCCTCCAACTGGGTCAGCCAGGCGCCCCTGATTTCTTCTCTCCTTACCCCGTCTCCCTCATCTCTCTAACCCGGTCCTCTCTCTTGTGCTTTGGACCCATCCTTCCAGTTGCCTATTGCTGTCACAACCCTTAGCTCGCAAGCAGGTGTAAAACGTGTGTGCACGCGCATGCGTAGATCCAAGCTTTCGTCACGACCCTTCTCCTACACTCCTGCCACCCAGCGGCGGCTGGGAGACAGCAGGCAGCTTACGACAAATGCTTGTGTGTTTTGATGACTTCCTTTCCCTCACTTCTCACATCCCTCAGTCACAGAGGCCTGGCCATTGGGCCTCCTCAGCTAGTTCTTCAATTCTTCCCTCTACCTCTAAACAGGGACTGTTGCAAAAAGCTCCCTGACCTACTTTCCGTAACCATCCCATGCCTCTTCATTCCAACCTCTGTGGCCCTAGAATGATCTTAGGCAGTAAACCAAATCAGGTCACCCCACCACCCTCCACTCCCACGTTCAAACCCCTGCAGTGGTTCTCTCTGGCCTGTAAGCTAACTTCTGTGTGTGTGTGTGGCAGACAGTAGCCTCCACCTGCCTCCATGCCTCTGCTGCTCCAGCCCTGAACCCCACACGCCCCCTGCTCATCCAGGCTGGGACACGTATGCTGTCCCGTCAGTTTGCACTCAGAAGCCACATCCTTCCTCTTAAGGCTTCTCCCTGGGCCTTAGGCGCTCCTGCTTTAGCACCTGCCCTGCCGTCCTGGAGTCACAAGCCCTGTCCTTCCCCATCGAGGTCAAGGGAAAGCTCCACATCCTACCATTGCTGTGCGCCCTGCACTTTGCACGGACTTGTGTGTCAAAAGGGAGCAAGGCCGGGAAGACAGTGTCTTCTGTGCAGACTTGGGGGTGGGACAAGATCTCCTGGAGAAGGAGAGGCCTCCGACCTCCATTCTTCCAGTCACGCATGCAGTGGCCTCAGTGGTCTGTATAGCTAAATAGGAAAAGAATAAGATGTGTTCACAAGCTCTTGTCTCTTTCAGTAACATTGGCGGCAATACCATCAATGAAGCTGTCCTGACTCTGCTTCAGGCCGGAGGGGCCCGGGAAGAAATCAGGCTGGACCAGCTGGCACCCCAGCTCCAGGCCGAGATGGCGGAGTCCACAGGTAAGTGGCTCCCAGCCTCTGGGGACGGCTGCGGGGTGGGGAGGGGTCTGGACTGGAAGGTGGGCTTCTGAGGTTGGCAAGGCAACCGTATCATCACCTCACTGTCAGCTCCAGGCAGACACGAGAGAAGGTCCAAGAAAACGCTTTCAGAGTAGTTGCCCCAGCCCTGGAAACCCAGGCGGCGGACCCTGAGCAAGAGTGTCTGTGAGCTCAGTGGTCCGTGCTATGAAATGAAACCATAAACATGCAGGCAGTGTCCCACTGTCCCGCTTCACCTGGGGCACACACTCGGAGTTAGCCAGGACACGCTTTCGCTCTGAAGTTCTTGACATGGGCTTTAGGGTCGGGGACACCTTAAAACTCCAGTTGGGGTCAGCCCCAAGGTAGGCGTCATGTAACTCTGCTCTTGATTTCAGACACTGGCTTTGGCCACAGCTGTCTTGTCAAGGAAAACCTGATTGACTTCTTCATCCCCTTCCTGCCCCTGGAGTACCACCACGTGAGGCTGTGCGCACGCGACGCTTTCCTGAGCCAGGGACTCCCGTACACAGAAGAGGCCCTGGACCAAATTGCCAAGATGATGGTGTATATCCCCAAGGAGGAGCAACTCTTCTCTTCTCAGGGCTGCAAATCTATTTCCCAGAGAATTAGCTATTTCCTGCCTTGAGGGCTCGAGGAAGACTTCCTGCAGCTGCCGGTCTTCCACCACCAGGACCCTGGGGCCGGTCAGGGCACTGTCTGGGACTCAGGGCAGGAGGATAGGCTGGCCTCCAGCCGTCACTCACGTACAAAAGGTGTGTAAAAAGGGAAGGCCTTAAATCAGAAACAGAGCCAACGCTTTAAATCACTTGGTGCCTTAAAGAGCCACATTTTAAAATGTGGGCCAGGCGGCTGGAGAAAGCCACAGGCCAGATGAATCCCAAGGCCTGGCTAGCATCTCTGCCCTTGCCCGCAGAGGCCTGGACTTGGGGGTGAGGCCAGAGGTCGCGGGGTCCTCATTGACAGGGAAGGGAGAATCAAGCTCTGCTTACCAGTGGCCTCGGGTGTGCAGGCACAGGGGCTTAGCTTTCAAGTTGTTCCCACAGGGAAGCGGAGCAGGTTTGTCAGCAAAGAGCCTCAGGCTGAAGGAAAAAGTACACAAAGGAAGAATTTTATATATATATGTGTGTGTGTGTATATATATATATAAAATCATGTCAGTGGAGGTTAAGATTTGTACTCAGATTTAAAAGAAAAATTTAAGCAAGGGGCTTTGACATGGCTGTGTCATGTGTAAAGATTAAAAGTTTGTATTTTTCTAAAACCCTCGGCCTCCTTTCTTACTGAGACCTAGTAATCACGCTCACTCAGCTGGGGGCGGACGGTGGCGCTGAGGGCGGACGCGGTGACCGCCCGCTCTGCCAGGTCACTTCTTGTGGCTTCGCGCAGAGGCCGAACCGTTACTTCAGCCTCTTACTGAGGGGCCTCTCACAGCAGAGCGCTCTGTACGTGAAAACGTCACTCCCGGGCTCCCAGCTGTAAGAAGAAAGTCATTTTTGAGGTTTGAATGGCCACATATAAATGTGTACATTCTATTTCTAGACACACAGGGGATGTGCGTTGCGTGTCTTTTCCCTTCTCTTGTTGTTCTTTTGCTTTTCTGGAATTGCACACAGGTCTCTTTGTCATCGCCTCACGTATCCCCTTATTTAAAGCCTTCCCCAAGCCCTCCTACCTTTAGCCCTGGAAAAACAGAACGCTTCGGGCTCTCTCCGACTGAGCACTTGATGGCACGCACTCATTTACACGGTCTCAAGCCAGGGAGGACCTATAGGCTGAGCCATGTTACGGATGTTGTCTCAGTCTAGAGTATCTCGGGAAGAAGATGCAGGATACCTGGTCCTGTTACAACCCCAGCTCTATACTCTGTAAATACAATTTTATTTAAGATTTTGAGAGCAGTGTGCATGAGTGGGGGGAGGGGGAAGCAGGCTCCCCATTGAGCAGGGAGCCAGACCCAAGGCCTGATCCCAGGACCAATCATAGGACCCTGGGATCGTGACCTGAGCCAAAGGCAGACGCTTAACCAACAGCCACCCAGGCGGCCCTATAAATAGACACTTTACAAGGTATACTCTCTGTCTTTAGGTTTCAGAGCACACTCCAGCAGCCATCCTTTTAGCACTGGCTAGCCACAGCCGATGGCATAAATATAGGGTCTGACCCGCTCTGCACCTCAGGGACAAAGGCAGGTAGCAGGACGTGGTGGCTCTGCACCCTTCTCGGGCGCCCGGCCCACAGTGCGGGGGCTCAGCCGCCTAGCGCTGTGAGACCAAGAAGGCCACCAACCGCAGCTGAGCCTTGCCTGCTACTTTTGGAAAAGTGAGCATCACTGCACTTCCCTCATAGAGTTGCTGTGAGGATAAAGCCAATCCATCTTTATAAAGTGCGTAGGACACAGCCCTTTGGTGTTTAATAAAGTACAGTCTAATAAAAATGCTGTCAGTTGGCACCATACTCCCAGCCAAGGGGGGGCGTCTCCCCTCACCCCCGTTCTAGTCCACGTGACCCCAGCTGAAGTCTGTTGTCGGTAACCAACATTTGAGAACTTACCACGTGCCCCGCATGCACTGCGCTAAGCACTTTATAGCCATTACTTCATGTCACCTTTAACGCTGGCTTCGACGATGAGGCTCTGAGAAGTAAAAGATCGTGCACAAAGTGACAGAGCTAGTAAGTGGACTGGAGGGGCTCAACCCAGGCAGTCCGCATCCAGCTTTCCTCGACTTGTTCCTAAAACAGATTTCCTCAGCTGTGCAGAATGTTACAAGTAATACAAAAGAGGGAAAAAATCAAAATGGAAGGTTCTCCTCCGGCGATTCTAAAACAAGATTTCCCAACTAAACCAAAAATGGGCAGGAGGAAAGGACTGCAGGGGGAGCGCGAGGAGGTAAGATGTTTAACAGCCCTTCCACCTGGACCTCACTGTGCACCACATGAATACAGCCTACTCCTACCTAATTACAACGGTACTTCTAAAAGCAATGACTCACGTTTTTAAAAAACTGAAGACCCAAGTCAAGCAAGGGTAGAATGTTCCATGTGACATTCTACACATGCTCTATTAATGCTACTTTGGCTTAAAACTTTCAGAACCAAGGCGTCTGCCTTTGGCTCGGGTCACGATCCCAGGGTCCTGGGATCGAGCCCCACGTTGGGCTCTCTGCTCAGCAGGGAGTCTGCTTCTCCCTCTCCCTCTGCCTGCCGCTCTGCCTACTTGTGCTGTCAAATGAATAAAAAATCTTTTAAAAAACACCTTTCTATTAATACAATTGGCACTTGGATAAAAGTTTTCAGAACCTATTTGGAGTGTCCTCAGAGTGGACTCTGAGAGAATTAAGTCTCCCTTTACAGTCACCTTATGTTAGATACACACATGCACGTACATCCATTACCCACCGTATGTACCTGCTTGGCTCCAGATGATGCCTTTGGCCGTTTCCAAAAAGTTTAATTCATCGAAGAACAAGCATTCACTCCCACAGAGGACAATCTAAAGAATGTGCCAGAGGGATGTTGCCAAAACCAGCTTCACCTTAGCCTTCTGTTTTATTGTGGGAAAAGATACATTCTGCACAGATTCCCTCTCAGTTAAAACTGTGGGAGAAACACTCCAATCAGAGGCCTACTTTGCCAATAAAATATTGCAACCTTTATTTAAAATAAAACACAAGTTGGCAAGCCTTGTGAGACAACAGGCAGACAGCATTCCCCTTTCAAGGGCCTCATTTATTTACATCAAGTTTAACACTGTTAGCAGTTCACAGTCAGACAACAGGGTGAGAGAATTAAATTAGAAAAACAAAACACCTGAAAATATATTACAAGAACAAATACCTGACAACACTGGTAGTGTGACCCATGATTGATGTGTTTCCAGTGAAATCCCGTACTGTCTCCCTGTGTCCCCTCAGCGATGCACAGTGCCAGGCCCTCCAGGCCTCACCCCCGTGCATCCACCACGCATACACCTGCGGAGCGTGACCTTTGGTATAAACGTTAAACGAGTTTTAAAGACTGAATCATAGGCTGTAGGACAAAGTTCCGTCAACCACCATGAAATGTTCAAACTTCTTTTTGACAAGCAAGCATAAAACTGGGTTTCTCCACTGATAGTCATTTCAGAATCAGATTGCAAGAAGTAAAAGTGTGGGGTCTACCCAGGAGATGGGGCGTTCTGAGGATGCATACACAGTTCAGTCAGCCTGCTCGTGGCCAACACACCAAACCAGGGCACAGCTTCTCTTCACCACAGGGAAAGATCTGAGTAACTCCTCTTTCACCGACTCCCCTTTCTCAGCCCAATGGTGTAGGTACAGAATGTGGACAGAAGACAGACCCTCTATATAGATCTGAGAGCTGAGGGTTTTCAAACATATGCCCTAAAGAACTCTAAGAGTACCTCATTGTCCTTTCTAGTTTCTGAATACTAATTTCTCTGAAGGATAATCACTCTAATCAAGGTGATTTCTCAAGATCTCAGAAAATTTCTCTCATAACGGAATCCCAAGAACAGTGGCCACAGTGAAAAACAGCTTGTCCATATCAAGGCAGGCTGGCTTACCTGGCCTTCACCTACCAGAAACATCTCGGTCTCTTGGCAGGCCTGCCAACTCTCAACACATGGTATGGTACTTCTGAATTGTGCAGAACAGTATTTGGGATTCACCAGTGAGGATACTAAAGCCCTACAGGATCCTGCAATATCTTCTGAATCAAGAATAAATTTATTAGGCATACCTGTGTTACTGTTGGGTTACAACCGATGAAAACTATCCTTACATGTGAAAATTTTATTAACTAGAAGTCCCATTCTCCAATTGAAGTTTACGGTGCTTAATTACATGATTTGAAACTTCTATCCTGAGGCTCAGAAGCAAACCGAATAAGCAAGCTTCAATGAGACGAACTATCTCCTTTCTTGAAGGCCACCAGCATTGGACCACTCACCTCCACCATGTCCTAAAGAATTGACTAGAATGCTCCCAGACCTCAAGCCCTGCATGTAGAGCTCAGCAGCTTGGAGTGACATGCAGGACCCAGAAACTTGCTCCTCTGAGTAAAATGATGAACAAAGGATTTCACAGAACAGACACAGAGGGCACGAATTGGGTGTGGTCTGAGGACAAAGTGGAGCCTAAGCTTTCGACTTAAAGGAGACACCCTTTCCTTCAGATGGTCTGCAGGTTAGATCTGTTCACACACCATCTGTGACCCTGGGCTGTTACCAGGGCCTTGTTACTGTGCTCACTATGTATACTTAACAATGGGAAAGTTAAAGGATGTAATTTTTCTAAGAGACGTAAACAGTTTCAAATTCCTAACTGAAAACAAAAGCAAAGAAGTTCACCTGGAGGGAGGGAAGGGTCCAGTTAGAGCAGCCTTCCCCCAGCTCCCCAAGCGGGCTGGAGAAAAGTGCAGTCTGTCACATCAGCGCCCTGTATGGGGGGAACATCTCAAGCAGGGACTCTCACTGACTGGGGCATTGAGCCCCCGCCACCCACCTAACCAGTTCTAGCTCACGAAGTGTGCACCATCAACCCAGCTTCCAAGTCTCTCCTCCGCAAAACGCACAAAACCCATCTTTGAAGGCACAATCCTCAGAGTGACTTCTACCACTCCAAGTCATCCTAGAATCAAGATGACCTGCCTAGGCCTCCTCTCACCCAGGGAGCAGCACGCGCTCTTCCTACCCCATCCTGTTCTTGGGATCTAGGGTGCAGAGGCAGAAATGAAGGAAATAGTGCCTTACACATGTGTTATCTTCAAGATGAACCCTTTCAGCTCTGGTATGGCATGGGAAAGCAGCCCCAGAGCAGGAAAACCCCTCCTATGGGGACGCTGCAGTAAACGTCAAGCCAGACAGACTTGGAGGCTGTCTTAGTCACCTGTGTAGACACTCTGCACAGGTGGCGCGCTGCACAGCCCGGAAATCCAGCCACACTTCCCGGCGATACAGGAGGGCAGGGAATGGCCCTAAAGTTCTGGCAGTAACAGGGCAGGTAACAACAATCATCGTCACTCCAGGTGCTTGCCCAGAAAAGCAAGCCTTGCATTTGAATTTTCAAAATTCTGACAGTTGGAAAACTGGAATTCTATCCAAAAGAATTAACTATCCTGACTGTTATGAGTGGGACAAGTTTTAGAACCAGCCCCAGGCCTCTCCTCTCTGACTAGTGAGGCCAGCAGCAATTTCCTGGGTTGTTGCACGGATGGGACAGGCATCTGTGGGGCTGCCTTGGCCTGCCTCTGTCAGAAGGATAG